AAGAGAAACGGGGAGAGAAAAGCTCACATTCTGCTCTTTCCAGATTATCCTGCTCAGGGGGAGAGGACTTGTTCCCCGAGCAAACTGAGGGTCGGGCTGCTTTTTCTTGTGGCTCAATAATGAGATGCAGACGAACTAGGGAGGAAGCGAGGTTTTATTTCTGTAACTGGTTACAGAGAGAAGGCCTGGAAAATGTCACCAGACCAACTCAAAATTGCAAAGTTTTGCAGAGCTTATATCCCTTCTAAGCTATATGTCTTCCTGTAAGTGTGCATTCATCTAAAAAGACATAAGTGATTACCTTTTGTTTTTCTGAGACAGAGTCTCGCTCTGTTGCCCAGGCTGGAGTGTGGTGGCATGATCTTGGCTCACTGCAATCTCCGCCTCCCGTGTTCAAGCGATTCTCCTACCTCAGCCTCCCGAGTAGCTGGGATTACAGGTGTGCACCAACACACCCAGCTATTTTTCTGTATTTTAGTAGAGATGGGGTTACACCATGTTGACCAGGACATTCTCGAACCCCTGACCTCGTGATCCCCCCCGCCTCAGCCTCCCAAAGTGCTGGGATTACAGGTGTGAGCCACTGCGCCCGGCCAGTTAACTTCTTTTAATCGATAACTAAGATCTGAGTCCTGAGGACCTCCCTCTGGAGCAGGCGTCCGCAAATTTTTTACACAGGGGGCCAGTTCACTGTCCCTCAGACCCTTGGAGGGCCGCCACATACTGGGCTCCTCTCACTGACCACCAATGAAAGAGGTGCCCTTTCCTGAAGTGCGGCAGGGGGCCGGTTAAATAGCCTCAGGGGGCCGCATGCGGCCCGTGGGCCGTAGTTTGTGGACGCCTGCTCTGGAGCCTCAGTAAATTTATTTGATCTAAATGGGTCCGGGCGCTGGAGTGATTACCCTTACCTTGTCTCCTGCTAAGTCACGGAGGTTTGCGGAGTTGCTTTAATCCCCAATAGAACTTGTTTGTGGAGGCCTGGTGAGTTTCTTCAGACCCTCAATAAAACGTATTTGATCCTAAACGGGTCCTGTTAAGAATTCTTTCTTTGTCTTGTCATGCTTCACGGCCCAGGAAAGGCCTGGGCAAAACTCTTGGTGGGCTTTTGTCACATTCCAGCCTTCGTATAAGGGCGCTGGCTCTTTCAGCTTCTGATATTTAACTTAAGCACTCGGTCAGTGCTGAAACAGCTGTTATGAAGGCTGCGTTAGTGATACCTGACCTGCCACAGATTGAGGGCTGGGGAAAAAAGCGGCCCCCAGGGGTCTCAGTCTTCTATGCCAGGCCCTGCTCCTGTGTCTGGCAGCCAGAGGGCCCATTCATTCCCAGAGCCCGTCTAGGGTCAGACCGCCCGGGGCGTGGCCTTCCTCCGGGCACCCTGCCATGGGAGGGGCCGGGAAAAGCGACTGCTCTGTGCCATCTTCATCGTCAGGAAGAGGAACCCGCCACACGGCTCACCGAGAGCAGGTCATCCCAGGCCAGGAACAGGTGGAGGCCAGGAGTCCAGAAAGGCCACAGAGGGGGGCTGGAGCCTGCGGGAGAAGCAGCAGGGGGTCCCGGCCACGCCCCTAGGTTGGCCTTGTCATTCCCAACCAACTGCGATGGCACACAGACCTCCCTTCCAAGGCAGTGAGTCGGCAGGCTGAGTAAATTACTACTCAGATGAGCCTAAAATGAATACAACACATGCTGGCCCTCCACGGGCCTGGGGGTGCCATCCATAGAAGGCCAGGGCACAGGCCTGAGGACGGTGCCCCTGTGAGCCTTCTCTGCTCAGGGCCAGACCTGAGGATGGGACCCCTGTTAGTTCTCTCTGCTCAGGGGAAAGGCCCGAGGATGGGACTTCTCTCCATCCACTGTGCTCAGGAAACAGACGTGAGGACCTAACTCAGTCCCCACTGCTAAGGGAAAGAGCTAAGGCCATGGCCTCTGTCAGCCCTCTCTGCTCCAAGACAACCAGGGAGCAGGAGTCTTCCCAGTCCTCTCTGCTCAAGGGACAGACCTTAGGTTGTGACCTCACTCAGTACTCTCTACTCAGGGGCGATTCACAAAGGGACGCCTCTCCACGTGCACGTGCTACTCAGCAAACATGAGAACAGGAACTCTCGCCGTCCCCTCAGCTCAGGGGACAGGCCTGAGGATGGGACCCCTCTCAGTCTTGTCTCTTCCCAAGGACGGGACCTCTCTGAGTCCTCTCTGCTCAGCCTCACCCGCCAGGATTGGGCTCTGATCCGGCTCCCTCATCCACTGCTCAAGCTCTCTGTGAGCCCAGGAGGCTGCTGCTTATTGCAGGGGCTTGGTCAGTCCCTGGGCACCCAGGAAGGCACCTTGGTGGACCTTTCTGTCCCCAGGCCACCCTCCCCCCCGCCAGGGGCACTTGGTGAGGATGTGCGGTGAAACACATTGCATGGTGGGAGCTGTGCAAGGCGGAACACGCCAAGCGCCTGTGGGGATGAAGGAGGACAGGTCCACTCTGAACAGGAAAAACCAAGGAGCCCCGACAGGCCCCGGCAAGGTCAGCCAGTCTCTATCCTCTTTCCTCTCCTCCTGCCCCCCAGATCTGCAGGGGCCCTTGGAAAGTGAGCGGTTGGCTTGGCCCTGCGGAGACACATAGGACAGGCTGGGGACGTGCCCAGCCTGAGGAAGGCAGGGAGAGCAGAGCACAGTGGGGGCCCCAGGCATGCCCGCGGGGTACCCCATGGGACACACTCCAAGGGTCCCTGAGACACTGGTCAAGTGCTTTCAGGCCGAGGAGGGTGCAGGCCCAGCCCCAGGGACCTGCCGCCCCCTGCCCCTCACCCACAGCCCTGCAAAACTACCGGTCCCAGGCCCGCACTCGTCCGTGCACGCCCAGGGTCTCTCAGGGCCCCTGTCGCCCTGCAGCTCAGCTGACTGCAGCTCTGCTCAAGCAGGCAGGTCGCCTACATGCAGGATTCCTCGGGCCAGGCGGGCAGCCACCCACACCCAGCACTGGCTCCGAGGCTGCTTCGGGGGATCCTGGCTGTCCTGTGAGCCCTGGGGATGCTCCGAGGCTCTGCGCTCCAGAACCGCCGGAGGAAGCGTGTGGGTGCAGACTGAGCGATTCCCGGGAGACCCTCGCCACCTTCGAGTCCATGATCCCGTCCCCTTGTACGTGTGCACGGAAGGGCCCATCACCTGTCCCACTCCCCTCCCCCCCAGACTCTGGGTTAAATGTCTGATCCAGGACTGCCCTCAATTTGTGGGGATCTCACTGGCCCGTTGGGGGAAGAGCGCCACTCCCAGGAGGGCTCAGGAGAGCGGATTCCAGGATCCTCAGGCCCTCACCCATAATTGCTCCACTGGCCACAGTGCTGAAGGAGGGCTGTCTGGACTAGCAGCACCATCCAACCTAGGGGAGCCCTCCTCAGGCAGCATCCAGGGCTCAGAGGGCTTTGGAGATGCGGGACAGAAAGGGGCCACTCCCCAGGGCCATCTGGGCCTTGTGCTCATGGCCCACTGCCTGCTCTCCGGACACAGGCGTGCAGCCGCTCCCAGCACACTGAGAAAGGAGCCGGACAGGACCCAGAATGAAGTGCAGCTCTCCCTGCCCTTCCCCCACCCCTACCCAAGACATGAGCACTGTGGGATCCCTGCCTGGCCCACACACAGTCCTTTGGCCGTCACACACACCCTGTTCACAAACATCCCTCGGTGGTTAGGCCAAGGCTAGCCACCTGCCACCTGAACTGGAAGGACTGGCATGCAACAGCCCCTTGCCGCCCCCGAGTGCTGCACACAGCTCTTTGCAGGGCCTTTGTCCTCCTGTGCAGGCCCTTCTGGGGTTCTTCTCTTTGGTTGCCGGCCTAGCGTAACACACGTGGCCTCTCTGACCCTTCCAAAAGCCTTGAGTCACAGCCCTATAGTGGTGCCAGGAATCAGGGGCTTGGGGACCCACCTGCTGCCCCTTGTCCAGCCTTCGATGTCCAACCCACTTATTTCTGAGGGCACCTGGAGTGCCTTCAGTACCCAACCAGTCACTGCTCGTGACCACCACCATCCTGTCGCCAGGATCCATGCAACCCAAGGGACCCCATAGTCCCTCACGGACCCTGCCCCACACTCACTGCAATGTCAGCCCCGCCACTGTGGCCCTGTCCCCAGCACATCACCCCCACCCCAGTTTCACAAAGCAGAGGCAAGACACTACTGAATACTGATGCAAATTTACTGAACAGAAACATGTAATGAAACCACAGAAGAAAAGGGAATCTTAACACAGAGAGAAACTGCAAACAGCTGCCACAGGTCCCAAGTCACAGGCTCTCCTCCCTCAATGTGGGCTAGGTCTACTCGCTTCAGGTCACCCCCTCCTGAGCCCACCCACCTGGGCGGGGCCCTGCCCTACGGTTTGCACAGGACAGTCACAGGATGCTGGAAAACACAGCAGGGAACACCACTCTAAGTTGAGAAAAGTGAGTCATTAATAACAGGGGAGGAATGTCAAAGCACAAAGTTTCCCCGGGAGCCTCAGGCAGCCCTGCTCCGTCCCAGGTCCACTTCAGCCTCCTGCAGTCGAGGTCACAGCCACAAGGTGAGCGTCTGCCATGCCTCCTTCCCACTGTCTCCTGGAACAGCACTGGGGTATGCTGGAAAGGAGCTGCTCAGAAAAGAACACACACACCCCCCAGAAGAACCAGCAGTCCCTGGCTGAGATCTACGCCAGCAAAGAGGAGGTGGAGTTTGTGACACAGAAAAGCAGCGAGCAGAACCTGGGCCCAGCGATGATGCAAGCCAAAAACTACCCAACCCCAAGTCCTCCCTTTTCCTCCCCCTGTTCCTCCTTATCCTCCTCCACCTCCTTCTGATCATCCTCCTCCTAATTCTCCTCCTCAATGACGCAGGGGCTCATGGGTGCTGCCTTCCTGGGGCTCTCCTAGTGCAGTGTAGATCATCCTATACACGGGCTGAACCCTGCGGTCTCCCCTGCGGGGCTTCACCTCTCTGCCCCACAGCTCTTCCTCTCCAACCCTGGCCCCTGCGCCCCACAGCTCTTCCTCTCCAGCCCTGGCTCCTGGCAGGGGCAAGCCCCAGGCAGGCTCCTCCAGGCCCCACATGGCCTGGGGATCGAAGTCCACAGGGTGGGTATTTGGGGGTGGCCAGATGAGCAGGCCAGAGCCCTCAGACACACCTTCTTCAGCCTCTGCTATGTTGGGGCCCTCATCTAAAGCCCCGGCACCCCATGTGCTAACTGTAGTGGCTCCCTGCTTGTGTCTGCTGTACCTCTTAGGGCCCATGGGCCTGGCCCCCACTGAACCACATGCTATTTGGTCTTGGTTGGTAAAGTCCTTTCCAATTGGTAGAAAGTAAGGGGACTTGGTCTCAACCTGGCTTCCCTGTCCCTCTGCCCCAATCAAGTCCCCTATTTGTGTAAGCTGTCCTTTCCCCTTGTTAAAAGGTCCCTGCTGCGTGCCAGGGGAAGGAGTGCCTGGGTCTTGTGAGCCTATACTTCCCAGGGCTTGGGATGGCTCATGGCCCCAGCCCCTGACTCGTTTCCCGACACCGCTCCTTCGGCCTGTGGCCCCTCCCTGTCTGGAGTCTGGTTTTCCTCCTTGGGACACATGGCATGGCCGCAGTCTTCCCCAGGGCTTTCACTGCATGACAGCCGCCTGCGCTTCACTAACGGGGTTAAGCTTCCCTGAATGGTCTGGGTGCTGCTGTCCATAAAAGAGCCCGGCTGCACAGTGACCTGAGGGGCAGACACACTGACTTCTGCTCTTGCCTGTCTACCGCGGCCTCTTCCTGAAGGCTTCTGCTTATCCTTCATCACTGCTGTAGTGGTCTCCCACTCCTCCTCATCTCGAACGAGCTTCATTAACTCCAGAAAAGTGGGAGAACACCCTCGCTGATCCAGGATCTCCAGCTTGCCCCGGAGGGCAGCAGTCATGGAGACCCGAGCTAAGACATGCTTCAGGCGAATCGTGTCTGTGCTGCGCGCCGATGTGGGGCTGTGCTGCACGGCTTTCTGCAACAGGGGCTCTAAGCGCAGCAGGAAAGCTGAGACTTTCTCTCCAGCCTTCGGAAAGGTCTGCAGAAACCTAAACTGGGAGGTTCTAATGTCCTCTTTACCCCCAAAGATCTGCTTTAGGGCGTCAAGGCACTGCTCCACAGTTATGGAGTCATTGTTAGCTCGGAGCACCCGCATGATTGACAGAGCAGGCCCGCGTAAGCTCTCCAGCAAACGCCGCCTCTTCTCCATTTCAGACACTTGCCATACGGGCATGAGCTCAGTGACCTGCTCTAGCCAGACCTCAAAGGGCTCTTCGCCTGGGCTAGGGAAAGCAGTTCCCGAAAACGATTTCAGTTTCCGGTACCACCTACTTTCTTTCAGAGGCTCCAAAGGTGGGGGGGTAACTCGGGGCATGATCTCTGCCTCCAGGCTCTCTGCAGGTAAGCCGACCCATCCTAGGGCTCTGGCCAAATCTATCATTCTACGGCCCTCATCTTTCAGGAAGTAGTTCAGTCTACTGAGAAACTCGTCATCTGGGTTACGGGGCTTTACCACCACCTCCCAGGAGCCCCCACTTCCCGGTATCTCACGGGGCAGAGTAGCATAATCGACAGTGTCAGCCAATTCAATGAAGACTGCCTTAGCATTGTCTTCCCTCCTGAACATTCTCCCCACCACCCTGTACGCGCATAGGGGCTGCAAGCCTGCCTTCACGGTGTCCATAATTTCCGCCTCACTGCAGTCCACAGGGATGCCCACGATCAGCAGGGCCTTTCTGGGGTCCATGTCCATTCCCTTGCACCAATCCTCTAGCAGTGTCGCCGCCATTGCTCCCACTTTCTATGGACCGATCTAGTACTAGAGCAGCAATCAGCTCAGTTTGACAGCACTCAAAGAATTCTGAGCCTCTGCCAACTAGGAAGGCAGAAGTGTCCCAGGATTCCACAGCCTGCAAAGGAAATGGGATGAGAGCATTGTTAATGCCCACCCCAACCTATACCCTCAAGCGCCCCTCCCTCTGCCCCCACCCCCCAGTAGGGATGGACTCCCTGCTTCCCAAGGTTCCCCGTCATTGTGTGGAAAATGTAGAGGGTCTCCCCAGGCAAAGATTCCCCCACCTCACCACACTCCCTGCTGACCTCCTCCTGCTGTGGGTTCCTCCTCAATGTCCAAAGGACTCAGCTGTGTGTGCTGCAGATGCCTGTAGTGAAAAGGCCAACGTCAGGAAGCAGGCCCTGGCACCCGGGGACAGTGACAAGCCCTCCAGGCAAAAGGCGGCTGGAGACTGCCCCACTGCCCACTCAGGGATATGTAGGCTCAGGTCACCTGGCACCCTCCTTGCTGGAGTGAAAGTGAAGGCTGGCAGCAGGAGAAGTGGAGTGGCCGTCTTTCTCAGGAAATGGCTGACAGAGGAGAAAGATGGCCGGAGCTCTGCGCAGTGAAATGAGAGTGGTGGGTGTGGAGATTGTGTGAGAAGCTGCAGTGTTGCCATGGATACAGAGCATACCATGGACCATGGGTTGCTATTGCAGGGGAGTCTCAAGGCTAAGGCCCTTGAGAAGCAACAGGTGATGTCATTGGTCTCCAACCAAGAAAGCATCCTAGCAACAATGAGGGTGGGAGAGGAAAGGGGAGGTAGGCATGAGGAGTGAGTGCTGAAAGGACAGGAGCTCATGGTTTCAATTGCGTGGAAGCTGAAATAGGGCAGAAAAGGGACCCAGATAAGGTCCCCGCTGCCAGATTGCAGGAAACCAACAACTCTTTCGCTAACGATGGCCCTACCCTGCAGAGTCTGTGAACCCTGCAGGCAGTCCAGTGTCCTTACTCTTTCCCAGGGTTCCAGAGCCCCTCCCACCAGAGCCCACCTCACAGCTGCTCACCTTGCTGGGCTGGCTCTGCTGGCAGCGTGGAGGCTGCAGTATCAGCCACTTCACCCTTGCTGGGCTCTTCAGCTCTGTCCCGTTAGGCAGCCACTGACTTAGGCGTGACGGGTCCTGCTTCACTGGATCTGTCCAAAACAAAGGAGAGGTATTTTGCTGTGGTTCTGTCCCACCTACGTGTCTCCGCTCAGGCCACGCCAATTGTGATTTGCAGAGGTGTCCACCAGTGCCCTGGTGCAGAGATAAAAGAAACTGTTCAACTGGCAGAGGGAGGAGGAGGGGGAAAGGGGGAGTGTGGGGAGGAGTGGGGAGGGAGGTGGGGGGGGCTGCTGGTAGTGCAGAAGGGATCCTTGGGTAAGGTTGCTGCCCCACCCCCACTGCAAACTCCACGGGCTCCCAAGCTCCGCCCCTGCCGCCATGTTGTATCCTTCCTATGCTCCACGTCACCATCACCCCCACCCGTGCTGCCAAGCTCCGCCTACACCCGAGATGCGCGTCTACCCCAAGCCCAGCCCCCACCAAATCCAACCGCTTTCCCGACGGAAGTCTAACGCGTGCCTCAACCCTGCCCCGACTCACAGTTGAACTCCTACCGCAAGCCCTGCCCCCTCACCAAGCTCAACTCCCTACGGCAGAAGTCTAACCCCTTCTCCAAAACCCCTACCTCCATTCCCCTGTTCCCCTCCATGTCCACCCTGTTATCCACATAAACCCACTACCAATACCAGTGTAAGAGGGAAGGTCCGAAACCACCTTCCTGCAAGGGCAAGGGTCAAGAGGCACGGTCCTCACTGCCGTGTCTCCGGACAGGGTCGAGGGTGGAACAGGCCTCCCGGAAATTTTTTTTATTTGTTTCTTTTTGAGACGGAGTCTGGCTTTGCCACCCAGGCTGGAGTGCAGCAGGTATGATCTCAGCTCACCGAAACCTCCACCTCCCGGCTTCAAGCGAATCTCCTGCGTCAGCCCCCCGAGTAGCTGGGTTTACACGTGCCAGACACAATGCCCAGCTAATATTGGCATTTTTAGTAGAGACGGGGTTTCCCCATTTTGACTTGGCTACAACTCCTGACCTCAGGTGGCCCACCCGCCCCGGCCTCTAAAGGTGCTGCGGTTGCAGGCCTGAGCCACAGCGCCCGGCCTAAGGTCTCCCAGAAGGTCTGCCTGGAAATGGCAGGGGTCCTTCAGGGTGCTAGCTGTGACCTAGTAGGATACAGCCTCCAGGGAAACCTATGGCCACCAGCCCCTAGGCCCCGTGGAAAACAGCAAGGGTTATTGGGGTATCACCCGTTATGTGGGTTGCTGTGTATGACCAGGCCCATCTCCGTACCTGTTAAGCCTAAGCTGGAGGTACCACGCAGCGCGACCACCACACGTCCGCACCGCCTGCCGCCTCCTCGCCGACTGCGCCACCAGGGTGTGGCGGGAAGAAGTTGTAGAGTAATGAGCCCCCGCCCAGCGGAACTGCACACGGCCCGCTTACGGTTGCGCACTGGCTACATAAACCGTTGTATTTCCCGCGCCACGCAGCTCTTCACCCCACCCCCACCCACGCCGGCGCCTCCGTGGAGAATACAAACAGCGGGGAGCCAATCCATTGCAGACTAGCTCCCAAGCCTGTAGTTTATTGGCTGGTTCTTCTCCACTGGAGGAGAGCTGTGGCGTCCCAAGCCATGGGTGGAGGGCCCGGTGCCAATCACCGGGTACGTATAGGCCGCATGTATAGAATAGGCCATGTGAGCGTGTGTACTGCCTGGGAGTCACAGACCATGTTAAAGGCTGTGGGGGGAAGAGGTTGTTAGCTAACGACCCCCTCCTCAGCGGAACTGCACACGGCCAGCTCACGGTTGCGCACTGGCTACATAAACCGTCCCGTTTCCCGCGCCACGCAGCTCCTCACCCCACCCCCACCCACGCCGGCCGGCTCATGGTTGCGCACTAGCGACATAAACCCTCCCGCTTCCCTCTCAAGGGATCCCAACCCCCCTCCACCCATGCCAGATTGCACCAGCCTGCACCAACCTGCACCTTTGAGGAAAGACAATACAAGCAGCTGGGGGCCACTTCCATTGCAGAGCAGCTGCCAACTTTGTACTTTATTTGGTGGTTCTTTTCCACTGCAGGGCAGCTGCGGCGTCCCAAGCCGTGGGTGAAGAGCCGGGTGCAAATCAGTGGGTGCAACATATAGGCCACGTATACTGAATAAGCCGTGTGAGCCATAGCACCTGTGTATTTTTTATTAGACTGTGTTCTGGGGGAGGAGGGCAGAAAATACAGCTACGGCCTGTATTGCCCAACGGCATTAGTTTTTTTTTTGGTTGGTTTGTTTTGTTTTTTACTGCGTACTGAGAGCCAGATGACTGAAAATATTGCATTCTCCCATTATTCTGATTCCATGAGCAGACATTATGCACCTAGCACCCAAGCTGCTTCCCTCTTTTCCCAAAGTAGGTTTCTTCCATAGACGGAAGATTCAGAGTGGACGATCCACAGGGAAGATCCTGGAGCCTACAGGGGCCTTGAAAGTGCTGTTTCAAAAAAGGGTGTGGGTTCCGTACAAGTAGCCTACTTCAAGATGCACACAAATCCCCTGGTAATCTTTAAAAAATGCACGTTCTCAGTGAGGAGGTCTGGGGCAGGACTGATTCTGCTGAAAGCCAGGTTACTTGCTGCCTATCCCTGCCCAGGCTGTGTGTACCAAGGGTCTGAAGCCTACGATTACACTTCAGGGTCAGACCTTTGGTGACAGAATATATTTGTTTTTATTTGTGATTAAAAAACGAACAGGCTTTCTTGGGTAATGTTTCAATAAATGTGTTAAAAGCATAAAACATTTTAAATTGAAGGTCACTGAGCAAGATACTTACAGATACCACCTTCTTCAGCCAGGTGTGGTGGCTCCGGCCTCTAATCCCAGCACTTCGGGAGGCTGAGGTGGGCAGATCACTTGAGATCAGCTTGGCCAACATGGCAAAATCCTGTTTCTACTAAAAATCCAAAAATTAGCTGGGTGTCGTGAGGGAGGTCTGTAATCCCATTTACTCAGGAGGCTGAGGCAGGAGAACTGCTTGGAACTGGGAAACAGAGGTTGCAGTGAACTCAGATCGCACCACTGCAGTCCAGCCTGGACGACAGAGAGAGATCCTGCCTTAAAAAAAAAATTAAAAAAAAAAAAAAAAAAAAAAAAGGATATCATCTTCTTCCCCTTTAACTGCAGATGTTCCCAATGTCTGAGACAGGAAAACACAGACTTCTGTACTCCCTACTTGACAAAAATACACAATTGAGAGCCCATTAAATCAATCTCCTTCATGTGACAAGGAGAAAATAGTGCTGGAAGCCACTGCCTAGCTACCTGGTATCACAACATCACAGAAGCTAAAGCCTTGGAAAGAGGTTCTGCCTCACAGTCCCCTCTGGGATACTGAGTGCTCCCCTGCCCAGACGCTCATTCTACTTCTCACTGGAAGACTACATTCCTCTCCTTTTTTTTCTATCTCAGTCTGTTTTCTGCTTCTATAATCAAACACGTGAGACCAGATAACATATAATGAACAGAAATTGATTGTAGCTTATGCCTCTGAAGGCTGAAGACTCCAGGATCAAGGGGCTGTACCGCCAAGGGCCTTTTTGCAGCATCAGCCCATGGCAGAACAAGAGAGCATGCGTGAGAGTGAGCAAGAGAAAGAGAGGAAAAGAGCCATTCACACTGGCAGAGTCCTCCTCACCTAATCACCTCATAAAAATTCCACTTCTCAACAGTTGCATTGGGGACCAACTTTCCAACACGTGAACTCTGGGGGACACATTCAAACCATAGCACTTTCCTTTAAAAAAGTTATTGAGGGGCTGGGCGCGGTGGCTCACACCTGTAATCCCAGATTTTGGGAAGCTGAGGGGGTGGATCATGAGGTCAGGAGTTCAGGACCAGCCTGGCCAAGATGTTGAAACCCATCTCTACTAAAAATACATAAATTAGCCAGATATGGTGGCATGTGCCTGTAGTCCCAGCTACTCGGGAGGCTGAAGCCGGAGAATAACTTGAACCTGGGCAGCAGAAGTTGCAGCAAGCCAAGATCGCGCCACTGCACTCCAGCCTGGGCTATAGAGTGAGACTACATCTCAATATATATATATATATATATATATATATATATATATATATATATATATATATTGTTGAGGGATAGTGACAATGTTGAATTTTTTCCTAAGCCCTGTGATCCTGGAAAACAGTGAAGGTTAAGAAACCCCTCAGCCCTTTGTGTTCCAGAAAACAGCTTCCTGCAAAGAATCCTTCTTTCCATATGACTTACATAAGACTTAAGAGATGTCACCCTTGTTTATGCCTGACAATGCCAGACATGAGACACTCCAAATTCCCATTCTTTACTTAATAAATGATGAGCTGAACTGCTTATTCTCACTGATGAATAGGTACAAGATGCTTGTGGCCAGGCATGGTGGTTCATGCCTGTAATCCCAGCACTTTGGTGAAACAGGAGCTGTGGGTAACAAACCTCTCTAACACCAAACTGAGGAAGGAAGTGGCTTTTTATTTGGTGGGGAGCTGTGAGGGTCTATAGACTCATTTACCGAGCTCTCCAAGCTTCAGCTTCTCTCCCCTTTTATAGGCTTACAATGCTAAAGGGGAAACTGAGGCAGAACTGTGTCATTGTCCATTTGCTGGACATCTGACCTTACAATCTTTTGGCTTCATTGATTTGCTGATTCATATGCAGCCTGAGCAGGGACCAGCAGGGGAGGGGGCTTACAGAGATAAGACAAAAGCAACAAGTTGTTTGTTGGCAGAGGCGTTTCCAGGAGGGAGCCTCTGTGGAGACATGGGGGTGTGACCCAGTGCCGGGCTCCAGCCGGCAGAGATAGCATTCATTTGCAGCTCTTTCAAGGTTAACAGATAGCAAAGACGCTGGGAACCAAAAAGGGAGTCATTTTCCCAGCTCTTTGGTATTTTATTTCATATTTTTCTTCTTCACTCTCCTTCCCATTTGGAAGGAGGAGGGAGGAGGTGAAATTGAA